GCAGCTGTCAGACACAGTCAGACACTCAGCAGCTGTCAGACACACAGAAGCTGTCAGACACACAGAAGCTGTCAGACACACAGCAGCTGTCAGACACACAGCAGCTGTCAGACACACAGCAGCTGTCAGACACACAGCAGCTGTCAGACACACAGAAGCTTTCAGACCCACAGAAGCTGTCAGACACACAGCAGCTGTCAGGCACAGTCAGACACTCAGCAGCTGTCAGACACACAGAAGCTGTCAGACACACAGAAGCTGTCAGACACAGAGCAGCTATCAGACACAGAGCAGCTGTCAGACACAGTCAGACACACAGCAGCTGTCAGACACACAGAAGCTGTCAGACAAATAGCAGCTGTCAGACACACAGCAGCTGTCAGACACACAGAAGCTGTCAGACACACAGAAGCTGTCAGACACTCAGCAGCTGTCAGACACACAGAAGCTGTCAGACACACAGCAGCTGTCAGACACTCAGCAGCTGTCAGACAAATAGCAGCTGTCAGACAGACAGAAGCTGTCAGACACACAGAAGCTGTCAGACACAGTCAGACACTCAGCAGCTGTCAGACACACAGCAGCTGTCAGACACAGTCAGACACTCGGCAGCTGTCAGACACTCAGCAGCTGTCAGACACAGTCAGACACACAGCAGCCGTCCTGTTCTCGATGCTCCTCAGTCAAACGTACTCTTCAGCGCTCTTCCCTCGGTGCTCTCATAGCCGCTCAGCTCCAGCTTGTCCTTCAGCTCGTTCTCAAAGCGAGCCAGGTCAGCATCCAGCCGGCGAATGTGTTTGTCCACCTGCAGGGAAGAGACCTCTGTTTTACTACAAAGGGGCGTGGCCTGCAGTGAGACCTCTGTTTTACTACAAAGGGGCATGGCCTGCAGTGAGACCTCTGTTTTACTACAAAGGGGCGTGGCCTGCAGTGTGCCTCTGTAAGTTTAACAACGACTCACCATTTCATACGTCTGCATGGCCAGCTGCACCTTATCATCACTGAACTCTTTGCACTTGCTGTAGGCGTTCTGAATCTTCTGCAGGTGCTCCACTCTCTGCCCTGACGCCAGGTTCTTCACATTGGCTATGTACTCCTCGGCCAGTTTGTCAATCTCTGCTTTCTTCTCTGCACAGCAGCACACACACAGGAGTTAGTGCAGACTCTACATGGAGCTGTGGCTTTCAGCTGACAGGCTCACCTTCAGTCCTGTTGTCCAGGTCCCGCATCAAAGTGAAGTTCCTCTGCAGCTCACAGGGCAGGTTTTCAATACCTGAACAAGTGCAGGATGCTTAGTTCAAGTCTTTAACTAAATGTTCACATTGATTTACTACTTTATTTATAAAGTGCTTTAAAACAGCAGCCGCTGAAACAAAGTGCTGTACATACAGGGCTGAAAACAATAAAACAAATCAACACTAAGAACGATAAAACTATAAAAACAAGCAAAAAAATCAGCTAAAACAGATCAAGGTCTCAAGCTAGGTTAAAAGCCAGTGAATAAATATAAGTTTTAAGGTTTAGAGAGAAGCTCAGTAATAATGTAATGTAATGTGTTCCCTCTGTTCCAGTTAGCAGACGAGCAGCAGCGTTCAGGCTAAATCCAACATAAAGAACATTTTAATCCAAATAACTCCTGATTTAAGACGCCTCAGATAATCCTAAATGCTGCTGCTGGAGTTCTGAGAGATCATATTTCTCCAGTTTTAGCTTCTCTCCACTGGCTCCCTGTCAAATTTAGAATATAACTTAAAATATTCCTCCTAACATACAAAGACCAAGCTCCATCATAWATTWAATTTGTGTAATTTAGTCAGAAGATGTGGAAATAAAACACTTCAGTAAGATAAAGTTGAATTATAAGCAGACACTCACTGCAGGTGTGTAGAAGACTTTAAAAAAGTTACAGTAAAACAGTTTATATTAATGTTTTGGGTGTGTGGTACCTGACTTTAGGCATGTGCAGCAGGAACTGTAAAATGGTAATAATGCATAATAAAGCCATGTAAAACAGTTTCTGTAGTATTTACAGTTTAAAGCACAGATATCTGATCCCCGGGCACAAAGAAAGAAAAGGTAATCCTCTTTATGACAAGTGAACACCCACTTCTCATCAGAGACCGAACCGAGCCGCCGGACCGTGTTCTGGCAGAACCACAGCACCCACTGTGTGTTTGGTGATTTCTGATCTGGCAACCCAGCTGGAGCCTTCAGCTTCAAACAACCCGCCTGTTTTTACATAAAGGCGGGTTTCTGCAGGTTGGACATGCATGCTGCTTATTTACTAAAACAAACTACAACAGAGCATGTTTACTGAAAACACATCAGATATATAAACTTCTTATTAAAAACTATTACTTTGTTATAAACATGTAAAAGTCCGAACGTTACCAAATATAAGGCTGTATTTGGGTAACAGTACTCAGTTTATTACTGCAGGTATGTGTCCGTGGACTCACCTGTGTACATAAAGACCACATTTTATTTGATCTAAAACTACACACTAACACAGTCAGCGCTGTTAGCTTTACAGCTAGTTCAGCTAACGTGTCTGTACACCTGCAGAGTCACCTGAGCGAAGTAAACATGATCAAAGCCACCCAGCTGTAAGTCTTATCCTCCTGTCACACTCTCCTCTCAGGTACTTACTGTCCAGGTAATGCTCCAAATATATAGCCGTRGCCATGTCGTCTTCTCTGTGTCGCTTCTATGTTTCTCCGCTATGCTAAGCTAGCAGACTGTTAGCCTGACGGAGAGCGGGTGAGTTTGTTTTGTATCCCCGGGTGTGCCGTAGATCAGTGGATCAGCTCATAAACACCAAATTATTTTTACTCTGCCACTCTTTGTTTATTGTCTAGTAAACGATAAGTCAAGAAATAACCGGCTGTATTTGCGGTCAAAGAAAAACAGGGAGCTCACAGCTTTACACCGKGTGTGCGCACGGGACAGAGGGGAGGATAAATCAAGCGCTCCCTTGTTGATTTTGCTAGCACTTTCCATCGCAGTCAGCTGAGAGGTGACGTCGTTGAAAAACAAACGCCAGCCTGTCCTGAGACCGGACGTTTGAGAAGATGCTCGGTGGGCGGGGCTTAACGGGCCCGGTCAGCTATGTGCGCTCTGATTAACGGTCAGGCCTTTTCTGCCCCGAGTGAAGCATCTTCTCTTTCTGACGATCACTTCCGCGTCTTCTGGATCTGCTGAAGGATATCTGGTTTGAGGCGAAGAAGGAATAAAGTAAGAGTTTAAATGACCAAACAGATGTTAAACTGATGATTGTAGCTGCTTGTTTACTAACTCTGAACCTGTAAACTCACATCTGTAGGTCTGCTAGGCTAATGACAAACAACTAGCTAGCAGGACACTGTTTATTAAACTGTGCAATGACAACAGAGTAAGTGTTAAATGTTGTGGTCAAATAAGCTCAAATTAATGATGAAAATATATAACAAGGCTGTGAATCCTCAACAAAGATCCAGAATTACAAAATAAGATGTAATCATGAACAGCTGTGCAGCAAAATCTAATCAGTTGAAAAAAAAAATACAAACTAGATCTTTTGTGTGTTTGTAAAGATGGAGCCAGAGTTCAGTTTGAACACAATGATGTCATGTTTGTTTTCTGTAGCAGCTCCCAACATGGCCATGGTGAAGAGCGGCTGGCTGCACAGACAGAGTGAGTGGTCCCCATAAAGAAACACAACCCTGAGAACAAACACAACCTGATGTGTTGTCTTCATCTCCACCTCAGGTAGCATCCTGCGCCGCTGGAAGTCAAACTGGTTCGACCTGTGGGCTGACGGCCGTCTGCTGTTCTACAAGGACCAGCAGAGGCGGGACCTGGAGGACGAGCTCCACATGAGGGTCCACTGCATCAACATCCGCAGCTGTGCAGCGTGTCAGGGTGCGGACCAATGTGCGGGTTAGGGTGTGTGTCACAGTGTGGGTCACATTACAGGTCACTGTGCGGGTCAGGGTGCGTGTCAGGTGCGGGTCAGGGTGTGTGTCATGGTGCGGGTCACGTTGCAGGTCACTGTGCGGGTCAGGGTGCGTGRCACGTGCGGGTCATGTTGTAGGTCAGGGTGCTTGTCACGGTGCGGGTCAGGGTGCATGTCACGTGCGGGTCACGGTGCGGGTCACGTGCATGTCACGTGCGGGTCAAGGTGTATGTCAATGTGCGGGTCAAGGTGCGTGTCACGGTGCGGGTCAGGGTGCGTGTCACGGTGCGGGTCAGGGTGTATGTCAATGTGCGGGTCAAGGTGCGGATCAGGGTGCGTGTCACGGTGCGGGTCAGGGTGTATGTCAATGTGCGGGTCAGGGTGCGTGTCACGGTGTGGGTCACGTTGCGTGTCATGTTGTGGGTCAGGGTGCGTGTCACGGTGTGGGTCACGTTGCGTGTCATGGTGCGGGTCAGGGTGCGTGTCACGGTGCGGGTCAGGGTGTATGTCAATGTGCGGGTCAGGGTGCGTCACGGTGCGGGTCACGTTGCGTGTCATGTTGTGGGTCAGGGTGCGTCACGGTGCGGGTCAGGGTGTATGTCAATGTGCGGGTCAGGGTGCGTGTCACGGTGCGGGTCACGGTTAGGCACACTCACCCTGCTGAGTCCAGTTTTAAAGCTCCGTCTCTTCCTGCTGTCCTCCTCAGAGCTGAGCCCTCCTCAGGGACGGACACGTGACGCTCTGTTCCAGATCGTGTGCAGAGACGGGCGGGTGGTCAGCCTGTGTGCAGACGGTGCAGATGATGCTCTGTAAGACAGCTTCAAATGAACATCAGAGCCTTTAAAAACTGCTGAATACAATAGTTTCTTTGTGTTTCAGGGCGTGGACCTTGGCCCTGCAGGATGCAAGAATCAATACGGTGGGATATTAATGTTTTCCACTCAGCATCTTTGTAATGTCAGCGCAGTGACAGGTGTCTTCAGGTGAGACAGATGTTCAGTCTGTTTAATAATGACTTGATTGCTGCTCCTCAGGTTGGCTTTGCTCAGGAAGTTGTGGCTTCAGCTCCTCCTCCGTACTCAGAACACGTTCACCCACAGGTAAACTGAATAAATATAGACATCTTCTGCACACCTGTGCTGAAGTTTTGTTCTGTTTAATCTGCAATTTAACTTGTTTTAATGTAAGAAAATAAAAAGGCTAAAGTTAGCTGAAGTTTGGTGTTTGCTGCCACCTGCTGGACAAAACTGTCATGTCCAGCAGCTCCAACTGTTTCTGAAATGAGTGGTTATTTATAAAGCATCCTTCATAGAAATAGATTGASAGGGTGCTGTACAGTCATGATAAATATTAACAGTGTACAGACAGTAAAAACACATCAGACATCAGACTGATACGTCCAGCTCAGAGCAGGGAGGACAGGGGAGGACTGAGACAGTTCTGAATGTGAAAACCAAACAGAACAAAGAGATGGGATTGTTCCAGGATGAATAAGGTTGACACTTTTAAAGGTTTTCAGAATTACAAAAGAAATGGACTCACTAAAGGCTCCCACCAAGGAGGTCCTATAGAACAGCTGGAGTGCGTAAAGACCAGGTGACCGTGTGATCGGCTGGAGAAGCTAACGGCTAACGCTAAACGGTCAAAACTCTGGATTTCCCATCACTGTACATGTTGACAACAGAGCAGAAAAAAGGACTGACCATGTAGAAATCATTAAAACTATTAATAATAAGATTAACAATTATTATTAATATTTCACAGTAAATCTAATCGATGTAATGTTTTAAATAATGTCAGAAAAGCTGTTTGTGTTCTGGATTTATTAACAGAAGATAAGGACTCAGCTGTTTCTGGTTCAGGCAGGTGAACAAGCTGTTACAGCAGTCCAGGCTTCAACAAGATTTGTATTTTTTACCTGCCAGGTGATGACAAGTGTCACCTGCCTGACATAAAAAGTTACCTGCCCATAACAAATATGTTCAAAATTTGATAAAATATAAGAAAACTGTGAACTGTATTTGTACTACAAAAATGTTAACATGGTTGTCAGTAAATTTTATAAACAAAAACAACTTCAATAAACATTTTTAAACTTTCCAGTGTTTCCTGGATTGGTCTTGTGAGGGCTGCTTATAAAAACAGAATGATCAACAGCAGCAGCTTTGCTTTAAATACAATTTACTGAACAGGAAAATGTCTGAAATTTGCATTAATTAAATCTTTTATAGTGAATCTCATATCTAAAGATAAATTTAAGATATGTTGAACTGGAGTCTCCATAAAACCTAATGATAAATCTGACATTATTTATACAAGTCAGAAT